CCCTGACCTTGTTGACCTGGGTGACCACGGCGTCCACCACCTCTCCCTTGAAGGGCCGGAACACGATGGCCTTGTAGCGCACGGGGTACAGGACGAAGCCCCGGCCCGGCTGGATCACCCCGGCGCCGATGTTGTCGATGGTGGTGACAGCGATGACGAACCCGTACCTGAAACGGGGTTATTATGGGATGTACTGGGGTTTTATTGGGGTTATTATGGGATGTATTGGGGTTTATTGGGGATTTATTGGGGATTTATTGGGGTTTATTGGGGTTTATACTGGATTTATTGGGGATTTATTGGGGTCTATATTGGATTTATTGGGGTTTATATTGGATTTATTGGGGATTTATTGGGGTTTTATTGGGATTTATTGGGGATTTATTGGGGTTTTATTTGATTTGTTGGGGTTTATTGGGGTTCGGATCACCCCCGCTCCAATATTGTCAATGGTGGTCACTGCGATGACAAATCCATACCTGAAACGGGATTTATTGGGGTTTTATTGGATTTATTGGGGTTTATTGGGGTTTTATTGGATGTATTGGGGTTTATTGGGGTTTATATTGGATTTATTGGGGTTTTATTGGATTTATTGGGGTTTTACTGGGATTTATTGAGGATTTATTGGGGTTTATTGGGGTTTGGATCACCCCGGCCCCGATGTTATCGATGGTGGTGACAGCGATGACGAACCCGTACCTGAAACGGGATTTATTGGGGATTTATTTGGGTTTTATTGGCATTTATTGGGGTTTATTGGCGTTTTATTGGGATTTATTGGGTTTAAATTGGATTTATTGGGGTTTATTGGGGATTTATTGGGGTTTATTGGGGTTTATTGGGGATTTATTGGGGATTTATTGGGGTTTATTGGGGATTTATTGGGGTTTATTGGGGTTTATTGGGGATTTATTGGGGATTTATTGGGGTTTATTGGGGATTTATTGGGGTTTATTGGGGTTTATTGGGGTTTTATTGGGATTTATTGGGGTTTATTGGGGACTTATTGGGGTTTTATTGGATTTATTGGGATTTATTGGGGTTTATTGGGGATTTATTGCAATTTATTGGGATTTATTAGAGTTTTATTGGGCTTTATTGGGATTTTATTAGAATTTCTTGCGGCTTTATTGGGGTTTAGTATTATTTATTTGGGTTTATATTGAATTTATTGGGGTTTTATTGGAATTTATTGGGATTTATTGGGACTTATTGGGGCTTTAAGGAGATTTATTGGAGTTTTATTGAGATTTATTGGGAGCTTTTTGGGATTTATTGGGGATTTATTGGAATTTATTCAGATTTATTGGGGTTTTTTGGGTTTATTTGGAGAGGATTTGGGGTTTCTTTCAGGGATTTGGGGTTTTAGTGTGGATTTTTTGGGGCCGTTTTTTTGGCATTTTTGGGTTTTTTTGGGGCCATTTTAGGTTTTTTGGGGCTGTTTTTTTTGGGGGGGGAGGGCCAATTTTTGGCATTTTTGGGGGTTTTTTGGGGCCGTTTTGGGTTTTTTTGGGGCCGTTTTTTTTTGGCATTTTTGGGTTTTTTTGGGGCCATTTTAGGTTTTTTGGGGCTGTTTTTTTTGGGGGGGGAGGGCCAATTTTTGTCATTTTTGGGGGTTTTTTGGGGTCGTTTTGGGTTTTTTTGGGGCCGTTTTTTTTTGGCATTTTTGGGTTTTTTTGGGGCCATTTTAGGTTTTTTGGGGCTGTTTTTTTTGGGGGGGGAGGGCCAATTTTTGTCATTTTTGGGGGTTTTTTGGGGTCGTTTTGGGTTTTTTTGGGGCCGTTTTTTTTTGGCATTTTTGGGTTTTTTTGGGGCCATTTTAGGTTTTTTGGGGCTGTTTTTTTTGGGGGGGGAGGGCCAATTTTTGTCATTTTTGGGGGTTTTTTGGGGTCGTTTTGGGTTTTTTTGGGGCCGTTTTTTTTTGGCATTTTTGGGTTTTTTTGGGGCCATTTTAGGTTTTTTGGGGCTGTTTTTTTTGGGGGGGGAGGGCCAATTTTTGTCATTTTTGGGGGTTTTTTGGGGTCGTTTTGGGTTTTTTTGGGGCCGTTTTTTTTTGGCATTTTTGGGTTTTTTTGGGGCCATTTTAGGTTTTTTGGGGCTGTTTTTTTTGGGGGGGGAGGGCCAATTTTTGTCATTTTTGGGGGTTTTTTGGGGTCGTTTTGGGTTTTTTTGGGGCCGTTTTTTTTTGGCATTTTTGGGTTTTTTTGGGGCCATTTTAGGTTTTTTGGGGCTGTTTTTTTTGGGGGGGGAGGGCCAATTTTTGTCATTTTTGGGGGTTTTTTGGGGTCGTTTTGGGTTTTTTTGGGGCCGTTTTTTTTTGGCATTTTTGGGTTTTTTTGGGGCCATTTTAGGTTTTTTGGGGCTGTTTTTTTTGGGGGGGGAGGGCCAATTTTTGTCATTTTTGGGGGTTTTTTGGGGTCGTTTTGGGTTTTTTTGGGGCCGTTTTTTTTTGGCATTTTTGGGTTTTTTTGGGGCCATTTTAGGTTTTTTGGGGCTGTTTTTTTTGGGGGGGGAGGGCCAATTTTTGTCATTTTTGGGGGTTTTTTGGGGTCGTTTTGGGTTTTTTTGGGGCCGTTTTTTTTTGGCATTTTTGGGTTTTTTTGGGGCCATTTTAGGTTTTTTGGGGCTGTTTTTTTTGGGGGGGGAGGGCCAATTTTTGTCATTTTTGGGGGTTTTTTGGGGTCGTTTTGGGTTTTTTTGGGGCCGTTTTTTTTTGGCATTTTTGGGTTTTTTTGGGGCCATTTTAGGTTTTTTGGGGCTGTTTTTTTTGGGGGGGGAGGGCCAATTTTTGTCATTTTTGGGGGTTTTTTGGGGTCGTTTTGGGTTTTTTTGGGGCCGTTTTTTTTTGGCATTTTTGGGTTTTTTTGGGGCCATTTTAGGTTTTTTGGGGCTGTTTTTTTTGGGGGGGGAGGGCCAATTTTTGTCATTTTTGGGGGTTTTTTGGGGTCGTTTTGGGTTTTTTTGGGGCCGTTTTTTTTTGGCATTTTTGGGTTTTTTTGGGGCCATTTTAGGTTTTTTGGGGCTGTTTTTTTTGGGGGGGGAGGGCCAATTTTTGGCCTTTTTGGGGGTTTTTTGGGGCCGTTTTGGGTTTTTTTGGGGCCGTTCTGTTTTGGTTTTTTGGGGCCACTTTTTTTTGGGTTTTTTTCGGGCCCGTTTTTGGCATTTTTGGTTTTTTTGGGGCCATTTTTGGCATTTTTGGGACTCCCGGGATGCCGCCATTCTCCCGGCTGGAGTTCCGCTGTCCCGGGGGAGGATTTTCCGTTTTCCCCGGGATTTTCGGGGCCCGTTTTCCGGGATTTCCGTTCCCCCGGTCCCCCCGGTTCCCTCCCGGTTCCCCCCGGTCCCCCCCGGTCCCTCCCGGTTCCCCGCGCTCACTTCCCGGTGCAGGTCCCCTCCACCTCGGTGAACAGCTTCTGCTTCACGGTGTTCAGCAGGTTGGGCCCGAAGTACCGCGGGTGCAGGAGGATCTCGTGCTCCAGGGAGATCTGAGGGCACCGGCAGCCACCGGAAGTTACCGGCAGCCACCGGAAGTTACCGGGAACCCCCCGGAAGGGCCCCCAAGGGAGGGGACCCCCCCAAAGGGACACCGGGACCCCTCCCCGCTCTGTCACGTGACCCCCCGGTGCCGCACGTGACCCCCCGGTGCCGCACGTGACCCCCCCGGTGCCGCTCACGTGGTAAAACATCCTCGGGGCCGCCGCCGCTTCCGCCGGAAGTGACGCTCTCCCGCCAGCGAGCGCGGCGTTGATTGGTCGCGAACGAGCGAGGCCCCGCCCACCAAGCCGAGAATGGGGAGTCGAAGGGGCGGGGCTGCGGCCCGAGAGAGAGGGCGGTGATTGGTCGGTTGTGAGGGATGGGCGGGGACAGACGGGTGATTGACAGGGCGGGGAGCAGGAGCGCTCCGGGAGCCCCAAGGACGCCCAGGGACCCCCCGGGACCCCTTAAGGACCCTCGGGACCCCCGAAAACACCCCCGGGACCTCCTGAACTCCTCCAGACCCTTCCGAGACCCCCAAAAACACACCAGGGACCCCCAAACCCCCTCCAGGACCTTCTGGACACCCCCAGACCCCCAAAACCACCCCTGAGCCC